TTCTAGCTATACAATAAAATTTCTAATTTTTTTAAAATAATTTTTTTAATTAATTAAATGAGTAGTTATTCGAAACGTTTTTCTGAGTGTGTATTCAAAATTAAAGATGACTGATTATGTGACAAATCAACATTGTGACTTTGACATTTTTTTCACGGGGGGCAGGGAGCGTGAAAATTTAATAGTTTAAGATTACAAATAAGTAAATATACCTACTTAATTTTTCGAAGCGAAGAGAATAAGACTGAAAAATGGTAATTAGTTGATAATTTCTAAATGGCTGTATTAAAATCTAAAGCTTATAATTGTAAATTTTGTTAGTTGTTAATGGTTACAATATGATTGTGGCTTCTATATAATAAAAATATAATAAATTAGAAATAATTTCTTAATAGATCTGACATTTCTCTGAAAGGAAGTGAAATAAATAATTTTAAAAATATGTACGTCAAACACTAAAATGGCAAAATGCTCTAACATGTATGATTTATTCAAAAAATTTCAATTGATTTTCTGACCAGAACTGAACCTGTTACTCGACCTTTTCTATATTACAAATCTAATCTCAATTGATAAATCAATTTTTTTTTAATGAATATATTGCTACTCAAATTGCTGATTTATTACTGATTTTTAAATTTGTGTTTCGAACTATAGGAGCTTTACTGTACAATTTATAAAATTCTTTTTTTTATTTAAAATCAAGCCAAATTTTTAATGAAATTTTGGTCTTTAAATCAATAATCATTGTAAAAAATATTAAAATTTCATTTCTTAATTGCGAAAAAATAGCGAAATAAAGAAACAATTATTAACAAATAATGCTGCTGGGCACTTCAAACTTTTGTTTTTTCAAACATTGTACTCAATATTTATATTTTTCAGTTTTTTATAAATAAAAAATACGAGTAAGGAAAAAAAAAAATAAAATTTAGTCTAAAATCAATTAGTGGAAAAAAGATCATCAACAACTTGAAAAATATTTTTTTTTCTAAAGTTTTTTTAACAGTGTAATGAAAACTTCATTTAATCGTCGTTAACAGCATAACTGCTACAATAAAAAACAGATGAAGTAAAAATAATAACCAGAGAGCATTCATTGTTGAATGAGTATAACACTTTTATTTTTTGCCTGCCTTAAAAACTCAAAAAACTTCTACTAAAAATTCAAATATTTTCTAAAATTTTAAAACAATTAACAAAAAAAAAAAAAAACAAAACAATTTTTCTAAAGTTTGCTTTCTCTCTTTCTCTCTCTCTCTTACTTCTCGCTACATTTAAAGTTTTATTTTTAATGATTTTCATTTATTTTTTATTGAAAATCATTTAAATTTTAAAAATTTTCAAGTACGAGAATTGTTGTAATTTTTCTTTTATATTAGAAACTAAAATGAAATAATAAAAACATTTTGTATAACAAATATACATTTTATATATTTAGAATATAATATATACTGTCTACATATATATATATTAACTGATACTCGTATATACATGTAAGAATATTTTTGAATGGATTTTTATGTGTATTTGATTTTAAAATAATCAGTTCTTAAATGTCATTTAAATTAATAATTTTTTTTTTCATTTAAATTGAATGATTTGAAATGTTTTGCGTTTTTTTCTTTTTTTTTACATAATTTTTATATTAATATGCTTTTGTTTTAATATAATTAATTTATTTATAAATTCTGATATTTTATTTTTGTATTTTATATTTAATTTTCAAATTCACTGTTTCTTTTTATATATGTAATTATTATTTAATTAATTTGTAGATGTTTTAGGTAATTTTGCAAACAATACAAGCAAATTCAAAGTAATAATTTTTTTTAAGTATTGGAAAGAAGCCCAAAACTTTTATAAATAATTGTACATAGGAAAAAATTGAAATATTCGCACAAAATTTTTTAAATTATATGAAAAACAATTGGCTACTCTATAATTCGGATTCGGAAATGACAATTTCCTACAGAGAATTGTTCTATTATATTTGAATTTCTGTTACTTTAAATAGATATTAGAAATGTGATATATATTATTTCAATAAATTGAAAACATAAATATTGAAATGTCACTTTTAAATTGTAAATTGCTAATCGGTCATTTTTAATTAGCGCAAAACCTAAAAATTTTTAATGAAATATTTGTGCATCTAAGCTCCGCTATTTATATTGTAAAAGGTCTAAACATAATCTCTCGAATTAATATTCTCAATAGCTTCGAGTTAAATCATTATATTTCGGTAAATATTCTGGAATGAAATTTTCTAAATATTATTTTATAATTTTCGACTTTACTAATAGAAATTCTGTGGAAAACCCGATATTAGGAAATTTGTAAATCCCGATAAGGTTAAATATCGGGTTTGGCAACTTCGTAAAACTGATTAGTTAGGTGTGTTTAGTTATGACTTCAAAAACTTTTTTTTTAGAATAACTTTTATTTCTTAATATTTTAGAATATTTTTATTTTTTAATTTACTCATGAAGATATGATAAAGCAAAAATTGACTTTTTAGCATTTCATTTTTACCACTAACTCAAATTGGCCAAAAATTGGCTTATCGGATTTTGGAAAATTTCCATAGAATTTTATTTTAACATTAAAAATTTTGTTCACAATTACATAAAGTTGGGCTCGCAAAGAATGCGATCAGTGCAGGAACTCTTTACAAAATTTTTTGCAACCACATTCGAAAAAATTTATTTTGCAACATAACAATATGTCATGTTCGTTGGCGGAATTATTCATTCATTATTTTTAATAATATTATGTGAAAGTCGCCATATTTACCTTAAAAACGCCTTGCACTTTTGCAATAAAATCCATAAAACATCATTTTAATTAAATTTTTCAATTTGTTTATTTTAATTTTACTTAAAATCTAAATGGAAAAATGATATTTTTTTTTTAATATTTTTGTAAATTATTTTAATTATTTAAATTTATTTTTTATATATATATTTTTTTTTACCTTTCTTTATAATTTCATTAATAATATTGCATTGTTAATTTGCGTTTTTTTTTGAATTTTTTTTTTTCGGGTTGATTTTTTTTCTCTCTTTATTTCATAAAAATAATATTATATTTGTTTTTTGTTTTTATGCAATTGATATATGTATCGTACTTATGTGATATATATGGTATATATGGTATATATGTATGTATATATATGTATTTATTTTGTTTTTAATTATTTACATCAAATATTTTTGTTTTTAGTCCTTCGAAGGTCTTGAAATTCACTGAGTTTTTTTTTTTGTTTTGTATTTTCACATTCTATTTTTGATTAAATTCAATTTTACATTTATAATTTTCGATATTTTAGATAATTAGTGTTTATTTGTTTTTCATGATTTTTTTTTTCTCTTTTATTTTTAACTTTTCTTTTTTGTTTTTTTAATTAACTATATTAAATTTTTTATTTAAATTTCAAATAATTTAAATTTTATTTAGAAATCGATTTAAAAATTTAATAATTGTGTTTTTTTTTTGTTATAAATTTTAAATCTAGAATATTGTCATACGTGTTGATGTCATCAATTTTATTATAAAAATTTAAATTTTTTTTTTATTTAATTTTTAATTTAATTTATTGGTTACATTTTTTGTTATTTCCCAATAAATATGAAATTTTAAATTGAATTTTTTATTCTTGTTTCTTAAACGATTTTGAAAGAAGATTGGCAATTTTAAAACAGAGTGAGCCACAATTAATTTATTGAAATACTTAAAAAAACGATTTCATCTAATTATATTTTGTTTCCGCACGATATGGTGAAAAATGATTCACCATTATTATTTTTTCACCATAACAGTTTCTCTCAGAAAAATATTTCAATTTATTGTGTTGAAAACAGAGATTATGTTTAATGAAAATTATTTGATATGCGATTAAAATAAAAATTTTTACAATTTTTGAAATTTTGTAAGGTGCGAGCATTAAGTTGCACCAATAATACCAAAGTTGGTTATAAATTAAAAAAACTTATTTGAAAAATTTGTTATATTTTGTAAAAAAAAATTTATAAAGAAATGTGACAACGATAATAACGTTTTAATACGTTTAACAATGTTCAAATGACTTTGTCAGAAACTGATCCATGTACCCAATTACATTTTAAATATGATGAAGTTAAGAGATTATTTGAAATCTATACTCGTATTTGTAATTTTGATGGTTTGATATAAAAATATTTGTTTGTAAATATTTAATGTCAAAAAACACAGATAAAATTACTTTTGAATATGTTTTCAAATATTTGCCAACGTTCGGCGCATTCCGAAGTTTTGAATTTTGAAAATTTAAAACTTATCAAATTATTCTACACTTTTCAACATTTACATTTTGTTTTTGAATTAAATATCTTCGCTGTCATTATGACTATTTTATAACTGTACAAGTATATATGTATGTTCATATGTATATGGACATATTCCTCGGTTTCGTACACCATATTGTTGCTATATTATAAATTTTCTTGTTCTATGCAAAAATACAAAAATGTTCTTAAGATTTGTTATAATTATTCTATATCAGAACAATATTTCAAATTTTTGACGTATGAGTGATTGAACTGTTAATTCAATTTAAAAATCAAAAAATATTTTTATTGAAATTTTTTCGAAATTCAAATTCAAATTTTCAATAATTCGAAATATTTTTTATTGTATTACGTTTGAACTTCTCATAAAAAAATTTCAATTTTCTTTTTGAAATTTAATGTTCATTAAATTGACATGTTTAATTAACAAGAACAATATGACAACTGAACAAAATGAGCGAGAAAAACTAATTTTAAAAAAATTTATTTGAGATTGAGATTCAATTATTTTATTCCATAGTCCACTCTCATTTCGTTACTAGGTACAAATTACAATCGTTTAACTTCAGTTTTCCTAACTTTTTCTCGTTCGTTTATAATATTTCTTGCTATTATTTTATGGCTTTATATTTGACAATTCATTTCTCTGTTATTTGTCACTCTCATTTTTATTTTGTTATTAAATAAATTTTGTTCTAGAATATTGTTATACCATATAGTTTTTTACTTAAAATTAAATTTTTTCAATATAAAAAACAATTTACCTTTAATAATAATAAAATTAATAACAAAAAAAAAAAACAATAATTTCGTCCATTTGTTCTATTTAATTCTTCTATTGTGACGACATCCTGTAAATAGAAAATAAAAAATGGTTTTATTTAAATGAACTAATTTTCTACTTTATATTTGAAATTCAAATTTTACACTCTAAAAAATAAAAGTAAACAATTTCACTCATATTAGAATTTTCGGAAATTTTAAAAAACAAAATTTCGAAGAAATTATTTGATATTTTTCAAAATTTAAAATAAATATCAAATGTCCCAAAAATATTTATTACCAAATTACAAAAAGAATAAAATAAAAATTTAAAAAAATTACAATAAATTCAAAATTACAAGAAAATCAAAGATTATAAGAAAAAAAAAACTAAAATTTCCTATACAAATAAATTTTTTTCAAATAATAAATTCATAATTTCTCTTCCTTTTTAAATCTTTTTCAATAATATTATGCCTATATGTCAGTAATATCCTTTATCCTATTTGTGTATTGAATTTACTTACAAAGAAAAAATACGTGTATGAAAGTTATATACACACACCTATGTATGTATGTATGTAAAAAATATTTTGTAAATTAACTTATAAAATTGAAAAGAAATTTATGTTTAACTTTTCTAAGGAAGAAATTTCCCAGATCCTTTTTTGATACTTTAATAATAATTACTTGTTTTGTATAACTAATTTAGAAAACGCACACATATACAAATTAAATAATATGAAACTAATAGGTACATTATATTATAAGAATGTACATAATATAGAATCATATGTAAATAATTTTATAAAATATTGAAAATTAAATTATAAAACATTATATACAATAAAATAAATTTGAGTGATATAAAATTTAAAAGTGAATTCGTATGTACGTACGAGTATATGCAAATGCATTTAATGAAGAAAACAAATACAAGGAAAGAAAGAAACAAAGTGAACATTAAAAACAGACAATTGTGGTAAATTAACAAAAATTGCCCAAAAATATAAATTTCTTCACAATAATATGTACAATACAATTTGTAGGTACATATATTATTGTGTAGGTGAATATAATATATTATGAAAAGTATTATACAAAATAATGTATAATAGTGTTATGTAAATGCCAATAGCAGTGAATTCATTTTATGCAATTCATACAATATAATGTTGCAAAATTTTATTTTTTTTTTCTTTTCATTTTTATTCGTATACTCGTAATATAGAAATTTATTTATTGTAATTTTTTTTTTTAATTTTATATACTTGTATATAAAATATTAAATAGTTCTAATGTCTGCAGATACTTAAAATATTCACAATAGTGTTCAATATAATATTATAATTGTTATTTTTGTTGTGTATAAATTTTTGTATAATAATATTCTTATCATACTTGTATGATATTTTACAATTAGTATTGTATAATGTTATGATGATCATTTATAGTTAATTTGTTATATATGTATACAATTGAATATTTTATTGTTATATTATTACCGACATATTAAATTTAGATTATAAAATTTTAGGTATTACAAATTTGTAATTTAAAAATTGTTATATATAGTTAAAATTGTTTCAAACTAAGTTTTTTAATGTTAGTGATTGTATATAACACTTATTTTTTTTATATCAATATTGCAACAGTAAACAGTTAATAATTATTATTTTTATATTTTTATATTGTAATCAATATAACTGTATGTCAGTTATATTGATTACAATATAAAACTGTTATACTGACCAGTATAACAGTATTCTAATTCTCAATTTTATGATAGTATAGTGTTTTTTACACTTTTTTATAGCTGTATAACAAATTTATAACTGTTATACTGATTATGTAAATTAAGCTATTTTGAAATATTGTTTTATTTAGTGTGTTTAAATGGCGTTTTTTCTAAATGCTACATATAAAATTGAATGTAACTTATAGTTGATTTGAACAAGCTATAAAATAATTTTTCTTTCATTCAATTCAAAAAAATGTTTTAATGTTCAAAATGATTTAAATAGTTTTTATTGAAATATGTATCATATTATAAAATATGCATGTATATTATATATGTATTGCATATATCCTTTTAAAAATCAGAAGCTCCTCTTGAAAAGAAAATAATGCCAAAAAACAAAACAATAAAATAAAATAGACACAAGCAAAAAAATGCTAATTTTATTGCATTGAATGCATTGCATTTTTGAATGTAAATGAGTTTTTTAATAATATAAAATCATGTGTTTTTACTGTACTTAAATTGCTATATTTATGGTTAATTTCATAGTGTGTATATGTATTTAGTATATAAAGTATATTTTATTTCATAAATAAAATATAATATTATGTAATAGATTATTTTTTAAAACTAAATACTGTAGAAATAATTTTGGTATATAAAATTATAGAAATATTGAAACTCTAGTGTACATTTTGATATTTGGTGCTTAAAAATTATTTTTTTTTTCTGGTATTTAAATTTGAAATTGAAATTTTATAAATGGTATTATATTTTTTGTTTTTAATAAAAACGGTTTTAATACTACTTATGTATTATATATTTTTGGGTTAATATTTTACATGCAAAAAAATGCTAGTTTTGCCTTAAGATCTGATAAAGCGAGAAATAATAAACATGAATATTTTTATCTGAAATTAAATAATTTTAGTATAATTATAGTAACTGTTATATTCATTATGCTTGACGGAGAGAAAGACCTATATATACAAACAATATGTGTATAACATGTATACAAATATTGTAAACTAAAAACAAACTTTCATAAGAAATTATCGAAAATTTAAATTTTTTAATAAAAACAGGAAAACTATGAATGTTTTTTAATCTCTTTATTCAATAATTAATTATTAACAACATTATAATTTTTTAATTTTATTTTTTTAAATTTAAATAATTTTTGTCAGGTAATTAAAACACTACACTAGTACACATTGAACTCATTATTGAAATTGTTTAATGACAAACAAAAAAAAAAAAATAAAAATTAAATTAAAAGAAAAAAAATATGATGTGATTAATTTGTAATTTACGTTTTTTTTTCATCGAATTAATTGTAATCTACGTATAAAAAGAATTAAATATTCATTGATGACACGCTCTTATTGCATATACATACATACATATACATATTTGCATTGGTGAACATGTAAAAAAAAATTATGCACGCATGCATAATCATTGAATTAAATTTAAATTTACTTCAGTAGTGGAAAAATTTTTAAATGCGTAACGTGATGTCATCAGAAACAATTTTCGGATGTGGGCCCACTAATCAACTACCTAAAATTGAAATTTTCAATTGTATATGTATATTGCTTTTTTTTCAGATCTACAAAATTGGTTCAAAAGCTGGTGGGGTCAGAAAATCCAAAACACGGGTTTAAGTTTTTTTAAAATCACGGTTTTAAGTTGAAATTAAAAAAATTGTAAATTTTGTAACTTAAATTGAGAAAAGAAATTCTTAAGTCTAATCTCAACTGAAGCATTTGAAAAATCTAGAAAGTCTGAATTCATTTACATAGCCTTGCTTTATTTTCAGTTTTCGATCACTTATTTCTTTTTAAAAAAATTAATTATTTTTATAAAAATTAAGTAAAATAATTTACGGAACGGAACAAACATTTTTTCTCATTTGAGCACGAAAACTAAGTAAAAATTAAGAAAATAATTTACTTTTTCTCTCTCAATATTCAACCAAAATTGTTAAATACCCAATTATGCCTTCTCTTCTCTTCGCTTTCCTTCCGCTATATAAAAACTCAATTCTACTACTCTTTTCCCTTATTACATACACAATATGTAATCGTGTGTAATCATACATACGGATTGATAGTTTTACAATACACATACACCTAAATCACATTACATTGTAGATTGCATGTAAATTACAAGATGGCTCAAATATTTTCAACCTTTTTCTATTTTATAAAGTTTTCATATTAAAAGCAGAAGTGAGTTGAAAAGGTAAAATAAGAGTAAATTGGAGATAAAAATTTTTACATGTTGAAAAAAAAATGAATAAATAAATAAAATTTAATAGAAGAACATGATTGCCACAAATAAAATGGACATGGCAACCGATTAATTAAACTAGGATAATATTTTATTATGCCTGCATTTTATATACCTACTCGTAATATTTATCTCTTGGGAATCAAAAAATTTTCAGGGCACGGTGATTTTGTGTACTTATGCATATGTTATAGTAAGTATATAATATGAAACTGTGATTTTTAAATTTCTTTTTGTTATTATTAAAGATTTAATATTAAACTTGAATTTTTATTTCGATGATCCTTATGGTTTTATTATTTGCAATTAATTCACACAACTATTTTGGCTAGAAATTTAAAAAATGCGATAAAATTTAGATGAAGATATCGGATTCTGAATCTTACATCTTGTAAGGGCTTGATTTGCTCTCATGTATAGTATTAAAATGACATCTTTTAATTGCTGTTATTGCTATAATGCATTTTACGATTAATTAAAAATTGTATTGGGTGTTTCATGTCCAAATGTTCCATAATTAAATTCTGTTTTGAACTTTATTGTTACAATAAAAAAGCTTTATGGCGGTAATATGAATGCGTTTATGGTTTTAGAAATTCAATATCTGCAATTAGCAATTTCTGAATCAGGAAGAACTTCAGTATACAGATTTCAATTTCAAAACGTTCCCATTCCTCTCCTCAAAATGTAAATATAATTTAAATTAAATCCTATATATTTAATATAATGAAATTTTTTTTAAAAATTCGTTGAATTTAAAAATAATAGATTTAATTTTAGTTTTAAGCAAAATTGTAATTGTAGAAAAGGAAAAAAAAAGGGTTTGGTTTTTTCTACAATTACCCTATTTAAAAAAATACCACATGAATTTGATGGTAAATAAAATAAGCCTAAAAATGAACACAAAAATTCACGATCTTTATTCTTACAAGAGAAAAAATTGCCTATATTAAGGGGCAGCAAATTCTTTAAGTAACCTACCAGAAAAATATGAAAATTTTATAGCTTCAAGTTTTAAATTTTTAAAGCTTCCATAAGAAATTTGTGATTTCA